ACGTATCCTCTAAGAAATTTAATTAAATTTTATAAAAAAAAATGCTAGAGGCCCCAAAACACTTTCAAATTCTTTCCAAGCAGGAATACCTAGAACCTCAAGATTGTTTTAAACTTTCCAAAAAAAAAACGGGGTTCCAAAATGAACTCAAAATCCAGGTCAGTTCAGAATTTTCCAAAAATAGAACACCAAAGTCCCCCAAAATTGCTTTAAATAATTTACAAAAAAATCTCCATGGACTCCCATGATAATACATCATGGTTCCCTATAGTGTATTATTTTGGGAGTCTCTCGAATTAAGAAAACAAAAACACTGCGGCACTCAACACTTTTTCAAATTCATAAAAAATAAAACACTAAAAGCTCAAGATTTTTTATAGTTCATCCAGCAACAGAAAACCAGATTCTTTTAAATTTATCCGAAAATAAAACACCAGGGGACCTAAAATTAACTGCGAACATTTTAAACGTGGGATTTTGAAAACTTTGACAATTTTTGATACGTCAAATATTGTTGTCAAATGAAATTTTATCAAATTATTGGAAAAACAACACAACCATATCTTTGTACATTCTAACTGAAATGGTAAATAAATATGGTCATGGGCGAGAGAAATATTAACTAAAAGTTTTATTTCTAGTTATTGTGATAATGAATGTGTTGTTTAGTTATTAAACGTAGCAAAAAAACCAATTTTAAAATCATTATAACTCCACCAAAATGTGAGAAGGAATTTTTTACTATATTTCCCAGACTCACCAGTCGATTGTCAAGAGCGTAGCGGAGACTTAATCCGCCATTTTTCAGACACCCGGTATAATAAGGGACTGAGGTGCATCATTTAATCCCAAGGGTGAAAGTTGACCCAAAGGAATTAAATGATACATCAGTCCCGCGGGATATTTTTTGTAGTAAGATCAAAAAGATTTACAGTTGAAAATCACAGTTTCTGAGAGTGACAAACATAATCATTATATAGGTAAATTATAAACAACGTCAGCCATTGCGAGAAAAATCATTCTTGGATTTGTTACGTGATGGCATTAAAGATAATTGAAGAAGCTGCAAATAAAGCAATTGCTGAGTTAGTGTCTACAAAGTCTAGTAAAATATTTGGAAAGTGGTGTGAAGAAGAAGGGATCTATACGGAAACCGTATTCTTGGCATATTTTTATGAAAAATCCATTAAATAAATGAGTTCTACGCATTTGACCAAATATTCTATGTTGAAGACAATGTTTAAATTGAAAAAGATTTGGATATCAGCAAACGAAAAAGTGAAAATTATTAAACGAAAAAGTCGAAAATTTTATCAATGGAACAGGTAAATAAATTTTTGAGTAAGGCTTCTGACGATAAATTTTTAATGGTTACGGTAAGAACTTGTTAACGGATTAGAAAGCAAAGAATTAGTAGATTTACAAACAACCGATGTTCAAGATTTAGGCTATGCATTATTATTTAATGTCAGAAAAACAAACAGAATTGATAGAACTTTCATTCTCAAGAATTCATTAAACATTACTAATGATCTTGTCCAAATATGCAGGAAATATATGGAATTCAGAAAGAGTGAAATGAAACATAAACTCGTTTTTGTCTATTATGCTAACAAGAAATGTACAGTGTTACCAGTTGGTAAAAATACCTTTAGCTCCCTGCTTCAAAAAATTGCTAAATTTATAATCTTCGGGAACCATTGTGTACAACACACAGGTCACTGTTTGCGGGGCTGGAAGTCGCGAATAGTGGCCGAAGGTTACGTTGACAATTCAATGAGTAATAAAAAAACAAATTGCTAAAAATATTTTTGGTCAAAATGAAGAATGTCAAGGACCTCCACTAATGCCTCGAGTAATGCAGACGAAAAACGGCCACATGAAAGCTCAGCATCAGAATCAACTGTAGTTATAAAAATTCTTATGTGTTGCACATCCAAATTGATGCTAGTAAGAATTGTTTATTTAATTTTGTTAACTGTAAAAGCATACATTTAAACGTATACTTTAAAGAATAAATTATTGCTGTCATGGTAATTGAATTTATTTCTATTTCATCCCTTGGGATTTTTTTTACATTTAGTCCCTCGGGAACAAATATTTTTTTTGTTGATAAAGTTTATCTCAACTTAATTAACATCTAAAGTTTCATAGACCAAGTTACATTCGTTAGGTTGTTCCTTAGTATCTGTCTTCTTTTTCTTCACCTTGTTTTCTATTATCACCTACTTTTTGCTCTGCCTTTACACTTACACTTAACACTTTTTGTTTTCCTTTGTCATTTATACTGAGCTTTACTTTTACACGTAACACTTTCACAGCAGATCTGAAGATTTTGTTCTCTTCAATCAGCTTTTTCTTGCATAATGGTCTATAAGTTGGAGCATGTGGTAAAGAGTACTTTTTACCACGTGCAGGGTTGACATCAGCAGCATCTCTTGAACCTAACTTAGTCATAATGTAATTCCTTTGACCAGTTGACCTTTTTGTTGTGAAGATGGCATTAGATAGCGCCAAAACATGTTAGCATGGTTTTTAATGAATATTGGCTACGACAAATCAATTCACAATAAAAAATCTAACGATTTATGTTTTTTCCACTTTCTATAATAAATCTAGGAGAAATTAATAGCAATCCTGCTTTTGTCTTGTGTACTAACTTTTGTTACCAAACATATCAGAAAAGAATATAAAGTAGAATATGCAATTTTTGCAAACAGATTGTCTGGAATTAATCAACAAGAATTGAGAAGACAAAGGGCATATTTTAGCAACCATTTAAAACACATAAATATCAAAAACATAAATTTAATTAGTTGGTCAATTTTTATAAATCTGAGTGTCAGTCACTTCGAGAGAATAATTTTTGTTTTGCTTTGAAATAAAACATACAAAAATTTACTTTATAACTTAAAAATAGATAAGTAACTAAAACGACAACAGTTTTTTTCTTATCTCTTCAGATGACGTTTACAATAAGCCCCAATAAATTAAAATTGAGCCTTCTTGAAAGTGAGAATAGAATTTTAGCAGTAGGTTATTGAACTGCTTAGCCGTTTTGACAATTTCTAAAAGAAGTAGCTGTTCCACATTTTTCATATTCTCCCTAGAACATTAGTTGGCACTTAACAATCTCCAGTTTAGGATATCGAACGTCTAATTCTAATTTATGCAAAGTGGAAGAACTTATAAGTATAAATAAAATTAGCATAAAAATAATTAGGGACGTTCTTAAAGGAAATATAATTTCAACACTGAATCGCCAATGAGTCACGTCGTGCATTATGCGAAAATGTATTTGGTCAATAAAAAAATTGGCGTCCCTGAACCGTTCAATAAATTATCAACTAAAGCAAATAAATATTCTAATCTGGTCGATGTGAAATGTAATTCTGTAGAGACAGCATAAATTCCGTTTTATTGGTTTCCACCGAAAGTTCAAGTGATAAAATGAATGTAGATCGTGCAGGTTCCTATAAATACCAGAGTAATCCCAAAAGTAAAAAAGGTATGAAAAACCTGAAATATTCCTCAAACTTCTATACTTGCAATAAATAAAAAAATGCAAGGACCAATGAAACGACCAGTCCACAAATTGAAAATTTGGGTCATAACTCGAACTTTTATGGGCGTCTGTTCAAATATTTTTTAGAGTATTTGTAAGCGGTAAACAGTTTTGTCCTGTTGTACGCGACTAAATATTGATCGATGGCAATTTCACCGTCTTCGTGACAGCTGTTGGTCAAACAAATTCGCTGCAAAAGCTGGAAAGTTGCCCGGGAAAATGGTACTGATTTGTTCTCACACAAAAAAGGACTCTTAAATGCCTGTCACCAGTCGTCTTATAAATACACAAAAAATGTCGCCCAAGACAAGATCTTGGGAATATTCTTTGGTTAATTAACTTATTAAGTGTTTTATTTATCTGAAGGCGGGTCGAACTCACTGAAGTGATACTACAGTTTCAAAAGGTTCTCAATTAGGGAGCATCTAAAATGGCCTCGTACCCTTATTATTGAAAAATTATCATATCTTCTACCGTTTAATAGCAAACAGCTTCTTCGGAAGTCGATGTTAATGAAATAAAGTCTATCCGCTGCTCAACGAATGACACTCAGGTGGATCTAATTTGAAATCGACCATATTTAGGTTGAGATATATGGCTTTATCGAATTAAATGACGTTCGTAAATTACAGGAAAACTTATCTTTGCAAAGCGTGTAATTTTAATTATCGTATTAATTGCGATTAGCAATAATCAATGTGTTTATAAACATTGATCGCATAATGACATATTCATGCCATTTGGCTTGGGGCTATCTGCAGCACTTGTTATTATTTTAATAATCTAGATTGTTTTACTGAAAAAACAATCTGCAAACAGCTTCGAAGAATGCTAATTACAATCATTGTTTATTACAAATGTTGTACAGTTAAATCCATAAGGTTGTAACCACTCGTTAAATTGTAAGGTTGGCATTACAGCCAATGGTGTTTTTCACATGAACAGATTGGTAACGGCGCATGTGTCAAAATTTGACAATTACGCACGAGAGAGTTTTATTTAAATATCTCACAGTTTGTTATTAAACCATATCATTGAAAAATTGTACGAACACGGCATATTGTGATAAATAAGCAGATGAAAATGGCACTTGCCAACTGCCACAATGAATTGAAACTTGCTTATCCCCAAGCATCCTCCCGAGAACTTGAATTCAAGCTTGTAAAAATCTTTTCAGTATGTAGTTATTCTTATACCATGGAAAGAGAGTACTCTATTATGAGAGTAACGCATCGACATTCGGAACTTTTTTCATGTTATTACAACATGGTGGTCTGTCGAAGGACTTTTAGTTTTAACTACCTCAAGTTGAAAGTGTGTATCCCGCTTTTTAGTACAACATTGTCTTTTCTAGTTTTATACCCACTCTTTATATACTACACAATACAACTAAATGTCCCTCATTAAATTCAAGCACTGCATACTTTCCCTGTAAACTTATTATTAATTGCTATTCTTTCCATAGTGTTCCTAATGTCAAGCCTACAAAATTATAACCCAACACCAATCTGGAGAACCGTTACAAGAAGCAAAGTGGAAACCAAAACAAAAATCGTAGTGGTATTCAAATTTGGAATTTAAAGATGATGTAACCTACCGTATATTTGACAAACCAAAAAAAATGAGTTTTTTACTCTTCAGGATTTGTTTATTTTTGCGAAAGAACATCCAGAATATACAGCAAGTTTAAATACTTTACGTCGAGTATTAAAATCCATGGGATTCAGATTTAAGAAAGTTAACAACAGAAAAATAATTGCTTTTTGGTTATTTGGTCTATGTGTTCCCAATGTTTCTAACCACTCCTGTAACAGTAAGTTTAAATAAGCCGTCAAATTATTTTCAACATACTTATTATTTTAGCCTCTGAATTTTGTGAAGTTACATTTTGTTCATTATTACCACTAAAATCCTCAGGGCGGAGGAGCATAGCCAGACCTATCGCCTTCACCCAAATTCCTTGTACATTTTGTAAATAATAAGTAGTACCAAATATTAGAGTTATTAAACATAACATTAAAGACTTGTTGGTGTCCCATTTTTTTGATGAAAAATTGGTCATCCGTTGCGACTAATTAAGGTGATCTACCCATTATAGCCAATTTTGTTGTTGCTCGCGAGATTGATCATTTCAGTCGAGAGAGCTGGTCCTTCGAGTCATATCATATCATAGTTAGCCACACATATAATTATCATGTATACTCATGTACAATAATTTAAACAAATTCTGAATATCTCAGTTATTCCCCATCTGTAAAGTAATTTTGATGAAGCAGCAACAATAAATAATTCAATTCACCTTGTTTTTTTACCAGTCCAATATTTGATTTCATTCGTGACCACAATATTTTTGGGTTCATTTTATCGTAATTCGTAAACGTATCGACTGCAAGTCTAAATTACAGCAGGTGGCATTCTTCTTTCTACAGATGAAAGATAAAACACGTTTCTATTTATCGTTGCTCTTGTATCATAATTACCATGAAGACTCAGGTTATCCTGTTTTTATTGAAAATTGTTTATCAATTTTTACAATATTGCGACAAGTTACAATGATAATTATGAAATAACCTGTGCAGGAGTGCAAGAACTGCAGTGAACTCGAACGTAATCATGTGTCGCGAATACATGAATGAACTGACATTATATTGACAGGTCACCAGATTTGTCACCAGGTTACTAAAAAACAGATTTACACTGAATAATTTTTTAAAATTTACACTAGGGAGTGGTTACAACCTTATGGATTTGAGTTTAGTTATGAAAGCCTGTTGTTAATGTACTGTAAATTAAATCGTGTACACTATTTGTGTAATTTGTTATTTCTGGTTTTCATAAGCAACATTTTAATGTTTAATTTAACGAGTTCAAATAATAAAATTTACAATGACCGGCATAATAACTAAAATTACTTGCATTTTAAATCGTATTTTTCACTACATATCTACAGATCTCAAATACTTAGAAAATGATACGGCGTTAACATTTTGTTTTGTAATTTAAAAAAATGTGTTTGAGTAATTCATTATATGTATTTTTACTATGTACTGGTCTTTTCGGGAAAATTGTAGCGGTTTGTGAAATATTTATAAAAATAAAATCGATTGATTCATTAGTAATGAATGAATAACATAATAATAAACGTATATTCAATAATTTTTCGAAATGCAATGATAACATTTCTGTGACGGAACAGTAAATGAATTAATTAATGTTTCATATTCAGTTAGTCATTGGTAGTGTCTACAGTTTCTAAGGGTAAATTATAAAATTTTATTCTAATTTTTTTAAAATGATACATGTAGGTATTTACACACATTTCAAGTAAATTTTTCTTAGTAAAATATTGATATAACTGAATGAACCTTTCGCAGATGATAAATGGGCGAATTTTGATTATCTTTATGATAATCTTAAAATACAATTTAGAAAATTACTACCTACACAAATCTTGGTCTAAAATTATTTCGACAGAACTTTCTTTACCTGTTGCGACGCAGTTCGATTTATTATATAAATTATATGTTGACTCTGCAAATTTTATTTTTCATGATTACGCCTATGCGTATAGATTGAAATAGAACTCATGAATTGATTAAAACTACATAGCAATCTGTTAAACTGATGGTAACATTAAAACCTCAAATTCAACTTCAAATTTTAAAGTAGTAATAGTCGGTGTAGTAGTTTCTAAAATAAATTGTAAAGTTTTGTACTAAAATTTTGAATTTTTTTCTAAAAATCTGCACATGCAGGGTTAAATATACTGATACACTATTAAACCACAAGTATAATCGCATATTTTGATAATTTTTTAATTATTTTTTGGCATAAACTGGTGTAGTTCTAATTAAGGTAGTTCTAATGTAGATATTATTTTTGTAAAAATAATATTTGTGACCGTGATTATCAAATGTCGCGGTAATCAACCGTCTATTTGCCAATTTTGGGTATTTTAAGCTTGTTTACTGAAAAATATGGCAGAGAAATCTGTAGATAATGTCAGTTTTAAAACTGAATAATTTAGAAAACACGTATTAAGTAAATTAAATACATATATAATATTATTGTCCCATGCGATACCAAAAAAAAAAAATTGGTCTAAAGAGTTTAGACAGTACTTCCCTCGCTGTCGGAAACTTGACGACTGCATGCCTATTGTGTTTTTTTTCTCATTACATTTTTGTAGTGGGAATTTAAAAAAAAATTGCGATGACGTCATCAACATTTTTGCAAGGACACGTATATCAGTTGGGATAGATGTAGTGTAATACTAAGAATAAAATTATTATATTCTCAAATTTTCGGGAAAATGAATTGGGTCGTTTGAATATTGATTTGTAATAATCAATAAAATAACGAAACAATTTACTCACGTATACCTACGTATCAGAGGCAACTGAAAATCGTGTATGTATAAACATTGTTAATTTAAGATGACAGGCGTAACAGCATACGTGAGAGCCAAACACAGAAACTGTAAACAAAACGACCGTCGGTTTTATTGCTTCGACTTCCGCTTATTATATAAAACATTGGGTTTTATTTTAATTCTTGACGGTGAAATTCACAATTGGTTGATTATAAACATGTCTATTTCACATTCGCGGAATCAAGTGAACGCATAAAACAAATGCAGGTCTGTAATGTTAAAGTCGATGTAAATAAGCGTGCTACCCTTATGTTTCAACCGAGTTTTTCCTTTAACAAATTTTGTGTCTACCAAATTGGGTTGGTTGGGGTGTAATACTAATAATAAGTGTTGCCTTTAATTTAATCAATAAAATAAATTGACTTCATTAATTTTTTTGAACCACCTCTTAAGAAAATCTAAAAAATATGAATGGAATGATAAATCACAAGTACAAACTCATCATATTTTTTGCATTTTAGATAGGATTTATTCAGCAAAATTTAAGGGTGACGTCATCAATTTTTTTAGGGGGGATGAACAAATACATTTTGAACAAAAGTTTACCATGCTTATAATAACTTTAAAATATTCCCAAGATTTCAAAGCATTCGGTTTTGTAATTCCTGATTAAATCGATAAAATAAATTCACGCCATCATTAATTTTTTTGAGTCACCCTGCATATGCAAATCCAAAAATATGAATGGAATGATAAATCACAAGTACAGACTCATCATATTTTGTACATTTTAGATACGATTTATTCGGAAAACTTTTGAGCTGACGTCATCAGTTTTTTGTAGAAGATAACCAAATATATTTTGACTAAAAATTTATTATGCTCTTTATAACCTTAAAACATCTGCAAGATTTCAAAGCATTCGGTTTTGTAGTTCCTGATTAAATCAATAAAATAAATTTACGCATTCATTAATTTTTTTGAGTCACTCTGTATATGCAAATCCAAAAAATATGAATGGAGTGATAAATGACAAGTACAGGCTCATCATATTTTGTACATTTTAGATATGATTTATTCGGCAAACTTTCGAGCTGACGTCATCAAGTTTTTGGAGGGGATAAGCAAATATATTTTGACTAAACATTTATTATGCTCTTTATGACCTTAAAACATCTGCAAGATTTCAGAGCATTCGGTTTTGTAGTTCCTGATTAAATCAATAAAATATATTTACGCATTCATTAATTTTTTTGAGTCACCCTGTATATGCAAATCCAAAAAATATTAATGGAGTGATAGTTCACAAGTACAGACTCATCATATTTTGTACATTTTAGATATGATTTATTCCACAAACTTTTGAGCTGACGTCATCAAGTTTTTGGAGGGGATAAGCAAATATTTTTTGACTAAAGATTTATGATGCTCTTTATAGCCTTAAAACATCTGCAACATTTCAAAGCATTCTGGTTAGCAGATTAAAAATTAAATTTCAAAATGTTGTTTTATAATTTTGATTTTTTTTCCAAAAATCTGGACGTTTCGGGTGAAAAGTCGATTCAGAGTTGTAAACTACATGTGTAGGACTATGTTATTTTATACAATTGAAAACCCATTTACTATGTACAATTTTGAAGTGACGTCATCGCTTTAGTGGTGGGGATGATTCGACAAATTTTGGTTAGCGTTTTACCATCTACATGATATTCTTAATATAAGTACAAAATTTCACAACAATCGGTCGAGTACTTTCGGAGATTATCTGTCTAATAAAAATCCGTGACAACAGACGGACAGACGGACAGACGGACAGACGGACAGACGGACAGACGGACAGACGGACAGACGGACAGACGGACAGACAGACGGAAATGGGAGACCTATTTCTTCGTCTTCTAGGGGTCATGAAAGATCGAGAAAACGTAAAAGTAGAGAGTCGGCCGACGGACTCGATTACAATACTTCCTTTGCTTACGCTCGGGAAGTAAAAAAATATGTTGGCATTGCAGCTATAATTTAATAGTTATTTGACCATAGCTGTCAAACTGATCAAGGAAAGCGTTGCTGTTGCCAAAATAATTTTTTAACATTAAATTTCAAAGGTTGCTTGATCACTTTTTTCCATCATATGATAGTACTGCTCGTACCATGCTACTTTTCTTCGCTTTTTTCAGGTCTTTTCTGCTGAAATGTGATTCCTAAATAAATTTCGCTGAGTAAAATTATCTAAGAGACGCTTAAAAAACGTTTTAGTCCAGTCGCTACGTTTTCTGCATGGAATTTTCGGTACATTTTCAGGATGTTTCCATTATTAACAGACTTAAATTTGTTTAAAACAGTTTGTGATCGTCCTTTTTCCCAATTATTTAAGGAACTTTCGGAACGTGGTTTTCAACACTGTTTTCAGCTTATAAAATCCAGAAATTGTACTAGATATATTGTCGATTTTTTTTGTCAGAAATGAGTAAAAAAACAGTAAAAAAAAAGCTTGCGTCGTAGAAGCTGTTAGACGCTTCTGTTTACTGTATCTCAATTCCAACAAATAAAGTTGGAAATATTTATCTAGTACGATTTTTAAAGTTTTGTAATCTGTAAGCAGTGGTATAAATCGCGTTTCAAAATTTCCATAAATAATTGAAATATTGATTTATTTCAACAAAATTTAGAAACTATTATAATAGTGAACCGTAAAAAAAACTGCTCCCGTATTCTGTAGTAAAAGTTGTTGATATGTTACTTATAGAGTTTGGTCCCAATAAGTATGTTAATAATGGAGATACTTCATTTTGAAAATGTATTGACACACCATAAGAGCCAAACGTATCAACTCCTCTTAATGAATACCTAACTTTTGGAGTTACAAATATCGGTCACGTAAAATGCGAAACATTAGAATCACTAACATCTCAGTACTTAACGTTTGTACAAAATTTTGGACTTTCGGTTGACTTGAGAAATAAATCAACATCGATGACTGTATATTGTCTGTAACTAACGATTTTGTTCTTTTTTCTAGGTAAGCTATTTGTTGAGATGTCGGATAATTTAGGTAAGACATTTTATTTAATATGCTTGTTTGAAGAAGTACATTTGTAATTGATAAGCTGGTCCGGTACATAAAAAGAAAAATTGTGGTTTTGTGATACATTTAATATGTGTTATGAATTATGCTATTTCGAAGATACTGTGGTTTAAAAACTAACTACTCTTTTGTACGTAGATTTTTTGTCATATTGTATGGGGTTATATTTCAACTAAAGTAATTAGGTAATATCTACCACGTTGCAGTTTAC